ACGCATTATCCGTCTGGACGGATAATGCGTCCTCTAGTATAAAAACGGCCAATGGTAACTCGAACCGAGGGAATGACGCAGGCGAGTTTGGTTCATCGTATCTCTTTTTGAGAGAATTGCGACCTATCCTTTTTACTGCGTTTTAAAAACATCTTTCGGGACCTTTTTTTTTCTGAGGAATCATGATCACCTTAAAGAGCACTAAGGACTGTATAATTGATTAACAGAAGTAGATGAATTTTCTATCGGCAGTTTTAATTTGATTGACGTTAATCATTGGATGGTTTAATCGTTGAATTAATGTATGGCGGAAAGGGTTTAATGAGATTCAGATAGTATCTTAGTTCTTATTTTCACTTCCATGAAAGAGGTACTTGATCAGTTTAAGTTAATATGATTGTCTATATGACGAGAGCTTCTCAATAAAAGTATTGTTATTGTTCTTATTTTTTGTTGCTGTAGTATTTTTTTGTACTGATCACTGAGCTGATGATCCATGCTTCAAGCGTTAGTTGATTTTTCATCAACTTAATCATTTAGAGGAAGAGTTCACTGACGCCCACTCTTGAGTTCTAAGACAGAAAATCGTTCATCGATCTTAGTTAAAAAGCGCTCGATATAGAAGTATTCACTCGTTTAAGCGTCACTGTTTAAAATGGACAACAGTGGATACAGAAACCTTTACTGTAGTTGAAACGCAGCTGTAACAGCGCTTATTTTCAAACAGAATCAAGGGCTTGTTGAACTTTTGACTGTTTTTTTTAAGCAGGCGAATCAGTGAACTACCCTCAATTTAGTACACACTCGCAAGCACCCATATCATAGCATATAGGACACAGAGTTCCCAGTGTTGTGGTTTGGTCTTTGCCTGTTGTTATGTTTGGATATGCTCGGAGAATTTAAAACCTTTAAAGCTACTCTGTAAAATAGCGCTTAGAATTTTTATTTCACGTTGTTTGTATATCTTAAGTGCAAGCAAAACTGACTGCTCACTTAAATCTTTTGTTCGGCAACTTCTCTTTGGCTTAGATTCACCTTGACCCCTTACGAAAAAAAAAAGCGTCACCGTCCTCATTCCCCTAATGCAGAGTTATTTGACTCAATACTGTGATTATAAATTGTTTGTTCTGATCAAATTACTACGATCAACTTTCCCCCTATTTTCTTCGACCAACAGAAAACGTCTAGGTTTGGAACGAACCTGTGGGCGTTAAAGCCATTTTTCACTAAGACATAAGTGCAAGCATAAGCAAAACGGTAATAGGGGTGTCTACAGCACAAGTATTAGCATGAGTACGTGGCAGTGAAGACGAGCACAACACAAGCAAAAACTTTCTTCAACACACATTAAAGGACATTTGCAATGCGGTACTGCAAGTTTCCCAACAGAAAGTTAACCTTCTTCAACAGGAGCTCAGACTTCACAGGGAACAGCTATTTGCGAGACTAAGCATAGACTCAGCCCTTTTTCTATGGAATGGAACCCTTTCCCGTCCGACCGTGCCATACGGCACACGTGTGTACCAAAGCCAACTTTCAGGAGTGGTGT